GACTCTGGTTCGACGATCAGTAGAGCCGGCGTGAGGGCATCACTGCTAATCATAGACGCACCAATCGCCAAATACCTGGCGATTCACAGGCACGCTGCGGAAGAGCTGGTGATACTTGTGACGCAGCTTCGTCGCGCCGGGAGCATCGGCTCTTTGCTCGACGCCTATGGCACTTTCTGCTCCTTAGACCATCGGGACGTTCGCGGTCGGTCATTAATTCGGACCGCGCACCAGAGAACCAGAATACGGGTTGCCCACCAGGGCATCGAAGTCGGCCGAGCGTTTTGGGTCGAGCTGCCGATACAGCAAGAGCTGGAGCTTTCCTCGCGACGGGTCAGTACCTCCCGGCAGGCTCCGTCGGAATGCCTTGCTGCAGCTCATCTCGTTCTTGCACTGCTCCAGTCGATCGACCGGCTGCGCTTGCTGCGTGCTCAGTGGCGCACGAGTCCTCTTATTCTGTCCTTCCCAGACTTGGGGTCATTGAAGACGGCGGAAAGAGAGCCAATGCTCTAAATTGCTACCCGCCTGCTCCATCTGGCCATGCGGCTCTGTCACGCTTGGAAGCAGCAGGCTTCGACATCAAAGTGGGCAGAGCAGACTTACTCAAAGCGTGTTGTCGCAGTAGGACTCTGCTCAACTAGGCGCAGCTCGAAAAGCCCTTGAAGGGGGTGATTTGCGAAGAAGCTGAAAGCGAAAGGAAGCGGGTGGTATAGCTGACTCTCTCCGAAGAGGGGCGAGCGGGCAAAGAGGGGCAGCAAGGCAGAATGACAGGGCCGAGATGGATATTCGAGCTTCAGTGAGTGCTAGCTGCAAGCGACGCGGGCAGGATGGAGCAGAAAGCCTACCCAAAAAATTGGTGGGTTTGGTGATGGTCAGCACACGGGTCAGTCCACAAAGTTGAAGTCGGATCGTACCTTGCCCGAAGTCGGATCGTACCTTGCCCAGCCCTTTGTTCGCAGTGTCTCGTTGCAACATCTGGACCCCTTCCAAGCCGCACGCAGCGCTGGAGGCCTTTTGCTGCCGTTGCAAAGCACAAGTCGGATTCGAAGGAGCTGGATTAGAGCAAAGACATTCACATTTTTATCAGTCTCGCCGGACTTGCCGGAGTACGCATTTTGCTCACTCACGGCACTGCAGCTGAGAAGCCGCCCGTTTAAGACGGTGTAGCATCTTCCTTCTATCGCTTTGGCTTTGATGCAGCAACGTGGAGAATACACATGCGATCAGAGCACTCTCTTCTCGTGGTGAAATACCGCTCGTTATGCTTTTCGTGCTGGTCAACGCCAGAATCGACATTCATGCCTCGGATTGTGACTTGCTGGGTCGCGCTGGTCGGTGGACGGACGTATTACGGCGGGCAGCAAATCTAGTCTGCTCTTGCTCAGATCGCGCGAAGCGTCTCCTGAAGGCGGAGAACGATGCGAATGTGCATCAACTCATCTGTCAACAGCAGAGACACCAGCCTTCTGGCCTACCTGGTCCTAGCGCGTTGAGAGTGTCGAAAGGTTACCAGCTCCAGCAAGGGTCTCAGATTTCAGGGTCGTGAGCTTCGCTTGCGCTCGCCGCTCCTCTTCCAGCATTTCCCGTGTTCTTCTCAGCAACACTCGGTTTCCAACATGTGCCAGCGATCCAGGGAGGCCGTTGGTCTCACCGCAGAGTATAGTTGGACTGGTCCGGCATTGATCATCACGATGCAAGGCGGATCGGAGCGCAATTTCATGCCTCGACTTTTGGAGACCGGCTTTGTCTATCGTAGAGCGGCGCATACCGAAATGGCAGATGCT